CAGAGGTTACAGCTCCTGTCAGGTGACCTCTCCTTACAATTCCAAGTTCTGGTAACCAGTCTTTCTCCTGGAGCCTTCAGGCCTAGGGATGGTACAAAAGCCCCCTGTTTCCAGACTCAAGTACTGTCTTCTCGCTTGTGATCTCCCTGTACTCTGCCTACTCTGTATTATAGCAGCTTACTCCACTTACTCTGTTTGAGGGTCCTGTTTGTTTCCTGCCAGGACCCACCCTGATCCTAGGTCTCCTGGATTGTCAGGCCTGGGCTTTAGTCACTGATACTAGTCTTCATCAATCTTGAATCCATGAGTCCCTTTGTGACTGATGTGGACAGAGGCCTCCTGTGCCAGCTCATGGTTGGACATGTGATATGAGTGAGAAATGAAATTTCTCTTGTGTTCAACCACTGAGATTTAAGGAATTTCACTGCTGTAATACAGAGGAGCCCTTCACACTGGGCCTCTCTTCTGACACCTAAATTGGGGGAAGTGATAGTATTACCCCTCCTTGCAGGGTTTTCTGAGGACTAGATGAGACTGTAAAATGCTTAGCATAGTGCCCGCTTCATAGTAAGTCCTCAGTAATTGATGCTGCCATTGTCACTGTTAATTGTCTTCAACAATTGTGTTAAAATACCATTCTTGTTTCATCTAATCGTACACTACTAGAGTAGGTATACATAAGGAGTCACAAATAGTATTCATGTAATACTCCAGGAAACAAGTTTTTAAAAAGCCTCATCCCTAAACATTTTTCCTTTTGGGCAACCTACTAAATTGTATTTCAGGATGAAAGGAAAAGTTTGACTTTGTGTCTGTGATAGTATCTGTGTTAGGAGAATGATATGTCCTTTAAGAACTATAGCTGATATCAATGCTAAATTCTTCTTCTAAAATGGATTCTGCTCTGTCATCTTTTCTGACTTTTTTACCTGATATTTTCCAAAGCCATTCTTGTTTATCACTTAATGTCAACCAGATGAGCTGAAACTAATATTAAATCTATGTGGGAAAAAAGCCAAAAAAAAAAAAAACTATAGCTGATAGGCATGTACCCTATTGATGTCTGGTTATATCAAGTGGTAGAGCACCTGCTTAATACGCATGAGGCCCTGAGTTCAAACCCCATAGGTTAACATAATGATCTCCAGTTCCACCTATTTTCCTGCAAATGACATAATTTTATTCTTTATGGCTGAATAATACTCCATTGTGTATATATGCCACATTTTCTTTACCCATTCATCTGTTGGTGGGTACCAAGGCTGGTTCCATAACTTGGCTATTGTGAATAGTGTCACAATACACATAGGTGTGCAGGTGTCTGTATTGTATGCTGACTCACTTCTTCGGGTATATACCAAGGAACATGGCTCATATGGTAATTCTATTTTAGCTTTTTGAGGAACCTCCATAGGGATTTATATAGTGACTGAACTAGTTTATATTCCCACTAACACTGTACAGGATTCCTTTTCTCACCCGCATCCTTGCCAGCATTTGTTGTTTTTGGTTTCTTGATAGCCATTCTGAAATCTCAATGTAGCTTGGTGATAACACCATTTTCTAAACATGCATCCCATGAAGAACCACAAAGGTTGATTATGCATGCATAGACCACTTATTTCTTCACCTCTGACCACTCCTCCACACCTTAAATCACCCTGCTTCTTCATCCCATAAACATCCCCAACCCTATCCTGAAGAAGGTGGATTTGAGACTCAGGTCTCCCCGCCTCCACACTGGTGAACAAGCTCTCTGTTTTTCCAGACTTGTTTCAATGATTGGCATACTTTGCTGCAGGCAGAATAGACCTGGTTCAGCAACACCCTCTAATTCTGCACTCAAGTTTTAATCTATTTTATGACCCAAGTTTTCAAACAACAGATTTTCAGGAGACTAGTAAAGCACTTTTAATTTACAAAAGCATTCTACATTTCAGAAAGACTTCCATTGAAAAAGCAGTTAAAGTTAATGTTCTGATGTCTAATAAGTTTAAACTTTCAATTTTCTACAACTTTCATTTATACAAAACCCTTACTGTGCCAATCTTCACAGGCCAAATAAAAGTGATGCAGCATGATAATGGCTTCCATTATTTTCTACCATAGCATGGACACATTAAAGGGAAGTAAATAATTATAAAAATAATCTGCAAAAATAAGTCTTTGCATCTAATTAAATGAAGCAACACTAATAGCTCAGAAACAGTATCAGTAATCTTTGTCACACTAACCTTTCTTCACTTGGTGGTACTAATAAGAAGGTAATAATGAAGTTACAGACAAACATAATTAGCAATATATTTTTAGACAGATTAAGTACCTTTCTCAGACGTATGAAGAATCTATTTCTCAATAGACTCTCATCTGGAGATAGTCACAGACAGCATAGTACTAAAATAACAAAGCTACTTTTCAGAGCGCTTTTTGGAAACGTGCTTGGGAAGTGATGATTCATTATTTATCTTTTGGAGAAACATGAGGAAAACAGAGAACTGCCTGAGTAAAATGTACACAGAGGCCAACACAATTAGCAGATGCTGTGACCAGTGGTTTATATGTGTTCTTGCATTTCATTGTCACAACAGCCCTAGGAAACATGAACCACTATTCCTACTTTACACGTGAGGAAATTGAGGGGAGGAAAGTGGGCCCAGGTCATCTGATCAGTGACTGGCAGAGCTAAAGCTAAACCCGAGACTCATAACTCCACATCCCACCTTCTTTTCACATACCATGTGCCTCAACCAGCCAAGTCTTCAATATTAATTTACTTAGGATATTTGTGATAACCTATGAGGTTAAGAAAGGTCATTTTTTTGGAATATAGACTCTTCAAACCACACAACTGTCTAGTGCTGTGCTGTCCATTGTGGTAGTCACTGGTCACATGAAGCTATTTAATTTAAATTGCTGAACACTAAGTAAAATCTAAAACTCAGTTCTTCAGTTGCACCACACCACATTTCAAGTGCTCAATAAGCAACATGTGACTAGTGGCTACTAAAATAAACCAAGAAACATTATAGAACATTCTGTCTTTGCAGAATAATCTATGGGATAACACTGATCTAGAGGCCCCCCAAGAGGTATGGTAGCATAGTAAATGTTGACATCTTTGTTATTATTGTCCAGAATGTTCCAGGACATCAAAGACACAGAGAAGACCTTTCCATCTCCACTGTTAGGACAGGACCAAGCCCTCTCTCCATAAATTCTTCACCTAGATGATTAATCAGCCTTTTATATCTGGGGGGCATTAGTTCAAGGACCCTTCTCACCCCTTGGATATAAAAATCCATAAATGCGCAAGTCTCTTATATAAAATGGTATACTATTTTCACAGAACCTAAGTATACCCTCCTGTATACTTTAAAATCATCTCTAGATTACTTATAGTAACTAATACAAAGTAATGCTATCTAAGTAGCTATTATATTGTATTGTTTAGAGAATAATGACAAGAAAAAGATAACTACATGTTCAGTACAGATACAATTTTTTTAAATTGTATTTTGTTGAATCCAAGGATATGGAATCTGCAGACATGGAGGGAAGACTGTACTCAAAATAGATGATGTTAGAGAAAGGAACAGCTATAACTACTTTAGGCAAACACATTCAATTATAAGTTCCAACTTGGAGGAGAGCGTTTTGTTTGTTTTTGAGCTACAACAGAGAAGGGCTACATATATTAATTCTATTTTTAAGAACTGGTTCAGCTAACACTTAAAAAATACAAGGTAAGAGATTTATGGATAGGAAACCACATAACACTGTGGTTGCCATGCAGGAACACTGCGCAAAAGGAGTTTACAAATTAAATTACATTCACTTTGGGTGGGTACCCATGTGTGTTTCCACAGGAAAAGGTATTACTTAAAGCAAATTATATGTTTTCTATGTTTCTCACAACACTGAGAAAGAAGACAGGCTAAGTGTAAAAATTATGTCCAAATTAGTCATTCTAAAATGAAAGGAAAAAGGGAAATACAGGTGGAAGCAACCAAAGTGTCCTGATGGATGAATCAATAAGCAAAACGTGGTTCATCCACACACAGAGTATTATTCAGCCTTAAAAGGAAGGAAATGCTGTCATATGCTACAACATGGATGAATTAAGGCCAGTATGTTAAGTGAAATAAGCCATTACCCCCCAAAAAGACAAATACTATAAGAGTAGTCAAGGTCATAGGAACAGAAAGGAGAATGGTGGTTGCCAGGGGCTGGAGGGAAGGGGGAAATGAGAGTTGTTTATGGGGCCATTGTTGTACAAGATGAAAAAGTTCTAAGCTGGACACTGGTGGCTCATGCCTGTAAGTAGCTAGAAAGCTACTTAAGAGGGTGAGATCAGAGGATAATGGTTTGGGGCAGCCTGGGAAAAAAGTTAGGAAGACTCCATCTCAATAAACAAGCTGGGTGCTGTGGTACATGCCTGTAATACCAGCTATGTGGAAGGCTGATCTGGAGGATCATGGTTCTAAGGGAGCCCAAGAGAAAAAAAAATGTTCATAAGACCCCATTTCAACCGAAAAAAAGCTGGGTATAGTAGCATGCACTTGTCATCTCAGCTATGGTGAGAAGTGTAAAATAGGAAGATCACAGTCCAGGCCAGCCTAGGGAAAAAAAGTGAGACCCTATCTCAAAAACAACAAGAGAAAGAGGTCTGGAGGCATGGCTCAAGCAGTAGAGTGCCTGTCTGCATAGCAATCGTAAAGCCCTAAGTTCAAACCCCAGTACCAGCACTGGAAAAAAAATGAAAAAATTCTGGAGATTGATTGCTAAGCGATGTGAATATACTTAACATCACTGAACTGTGTACTTAAAAATGATTAAGATAGTAAGCTTTATGCTGTGCATTTAGACCCACCTGCTATTCACTTCCTCTACCATCTCTATTACTACAGTCTCTACTGCAACAAAAGTTAATGACTGTTCTGAGCTTTTTAACATTTAAATAATGGGATATCATAATGATAAAATCAAATGTGCAAATATACCTGGGTCAGTGGCAGAGATAATTGCTCCAAAAAAGAGACAATCTGTGTAGTAAAATTTATCAGAGAGCTGGCCCACAATCTTCATGAGCTTCACCACACCATACATGAGATTTCTGTAAGAAGGTAAGGAAACTATGTCAGAAAAACCTTGCAAACATGCAAGCAGAGTAGTACCAGAATACTGTACTTTAGGGGAGACGTACAAAAGTAATAGGCAGCTGCTATGGTTGGACATTGGCCAACCATAAGACTTTGGCACCAAGTAATGGTTTTCAGTCAGTGTATGTTGCTGAGACATCTAAAGATACCATTCTTAAAAGTTGTGCCCACTACCAACTATAGCATTTATGAAGTATGGTCTTCAATTAGCAACAAGGTTAAGGCATCTTAAGCAATTGGGTAATAGATGGGAATGGAAAAGATAAGACTCCAAATTAATGGGCAATAAATTGCTACAAACTCAGCGTTCTAAGATAGTGCATTTCAAGTCATAGAAATGAATGGATGAAGCTGGAGAAAACAGAATGGGTTAGTCACAAAGATTCAAATGATTGACCTATTACTGCCTTCCCTACCTGGTATAATTGCAAAGAAAGGAAAAGAGGCAAACCTCTCTAAATGTCCTATTAGAACCTCAGTGTCCCCACCAACACTTTTGGCCTCTAGCTTTGCGTGACTGAGGAAGGCCTGCAGCAGCCCTCCTTATGTTGTACAGAATGTGACGTGGCCCAACAGTGACCACCAAGTTCAATTTTTCATCATGGCTGGAACATATTTCCTACATGATAGCTTACAAATTAGGAACAGTGAGGAGTGCCAAAAAAAAAAGCCTGGCGTGTGTGTGTGTGTGTGTGTGTGTGTGTGTGTGTAACAGCAGTGATAGCAGCAACTGCAGAGGTTAGGAGAGTAAATGTAACCATGGAATTAACTTATTGTACCCTACAGTAAGCCATTAATAAGGAGATCTGTGATGGTAAGGACTATGTCACTGACCAGGTCACTTCATGTCCTAGATGCCTAGAACAGTGGATTGGTTAAGTTAGGAATGGAAGAACTATTTGCATCATGGAATCCTTAGGAGAAGAACTTGTTAGAACTTAATGTTTGCCTAGTGTGTGCCAGGCACTGTGCCAGACAATTAGTTCAGCTTCAGTTCATAGCAACTCTATAGTACAGATTTGATTTGCCCTTTTCTGCTCATCAAAGGCTTCTTTCATCTACTTTTCAACCATTTCCTAAAACTAGACCTTCGTCTCCATTTCCTTCCACCACAATCTTAGACTTGGGCAACTTTTCCCCATCTTGCCTCGCATTGTCACTAATGCATGCTGGGTAACCCATCACTCTTCAATGATTTGTCATCTCATGAAGGACAAACTCCAAGTCCTTCCCTGTTTTGATACAATAAAAGGCCTTCAGTTCTACAATTCCAACTATTTTTTTAAATTTAAGTCTTTACTATATTTAGATTTCCTTAGTTTTTACCTACAGTCCCTTTTCTGTTCCAGGAACTCATCTAGGCTACTATACGACATGTAGACATCAAATCACTGCAGTCTCCCATTGGTTGTAACAGTTTCTCAGACATTGCTTGCTTTTGATAAGCTTGGCAATTTTGAAGGAGTGCTAGTCAGACATTTTATAGAATGCTTTTCAATTTGCATTTTTCCCAAGTTTTTCTCATGGTTTGACTGAAGTGATGTGTTTTGGTGTGGAAGATCAAGGAGGTAAAGTGCCCTTCTCATCACAAATATCAATATACTATCAACATGACTTAACACTATTGATGTTGACCTTGATCACATGGCTCAGGTACCATCTTCCAGCTTTCTTTACTTTAAAGCTACTCTTTTTCTGTACTGTATACTTTGGAAGAAGTCACCACACACAGTCCACACTCAAAGCAAGGCTGAGTGAGGAGCTGCAGTGAGGGGACTAAGTTCTACCTCCTTGAAGGGAATGTACCTACAAAAATATTTGGAATGTGGGCATAGGACATTTCTTCTCTCCCCCTCTATTTGTTCATCTAATCATTTATCTATACCAGTGTGGCCGTAAGGATATTTATTTTATACTCTGGGTGATAATATAACACAAAGTTATCCATTTTGTTGTTCTTCAGCCATTGTGGGGCTTTGGCCACTTATGGGAGCTTTCAGGTTGGCTCTAGTGTCCCTTCAACATGCCCTACCTCTTCGTGTTTGCCTGTGTGCCTTTTGAGCACTTGCTTACTTTCCAGCATTACAAGATGCTCCATTTTCATGTACATTTCCTGTTGCAGTCCTAAAATAAGCCATTTTTGCAAAGGGCTCTGATTCTTTTTATTGGAGAATGACATTAGAAACCAAGATCTGGAAACTGGGTATAATTTTATTTCATTTTAATTAATCTTAATTTAAATTTACATAGCCACCTGTAGCTAACATACTCGACAGTATAGCTCTTGATTCTAACTGCCTTCATCACAAACACCAAGATACTGGACTCTGAGCTCCCATAGTATCTTATCCCTTTAGGAAGTGTATCAATTTACTTATTAGACCAAGATTCACTTACCCAATAATGAAGCAGGAAACTGCAGTACCCAAGAAGGCATAGGCCAGAATAGATCCAAGATTTCTGAAAAAGTGTCTCTGAATGAAACAAAAAACAGAAATTACACTGTGATTTTGGACAGTGAGTATAAAAAACACATTAAAAATCTCTAAAACCTGAAACTCTACTTACTGTTTCCATTACATTGAGTAATAACTGAAGTTATACCTGAATAATGTCATTTAGCCTTAAGTATCATGGTTTTAAAATATCCCTGTACTGTTAATCACCAAGCAAGTGACCAAGAGCTAGTAAATTATCAGACAAAACTACTCTGGTTGATTATATTAAATTACATGGTGTGTGTGTTTGTGTGTGTGTACGCCCGCGTGTGTGAACCAATCATTTTTATAGATTTAACCCCAACCATTTTACTCCGTGAATCAGCGAGTCACTTCCAGTTCCGATGGTAGATATTTATAGATGTGTTTGAAACAAGTAAGTATGAAAGGGAAAAAGCCATCTAAGGAGCTTTCTGCTTAATTCAGTGACAGAAAACAGAGTGCTAGATCCATGTCCGTGGGACCTGAAGCATCGCCTTACATTCATCTGGATTAATCTTTGAAGCCCAGGAAACAGAGACAATAGAGATGGAAATGAAGAACTGGAAAAAGGTAGTTATTTCCATCTGGTGGTCATGGTGGTACATGGCAGTAATCAATGAACTAAAGAGGAGGAAGAGGCAGGAGGATCATTAGTTCAAGGCCAGCCTGGGCTACACCATTTAAGATGGGTCAAGTTGGGACTGGAGGTGTGGCTCAAGCAGTAGAGTATCTGCTCTACTAAAACCCCAGCTCAACCAAAAAAAAAAACTGGGTCACGTTTATATAGGAGAAAGTATAACCAACGTAAGATCTAATAATTACTCTGAAAGTGGTGGCAAAACTGCAAGTTCTTTGATGCTTCTGCACATTCATTGTTTACATTCAAACACACATGGATTTACTTCTTCCAAGTGATTAGGAAAAGTTATGCCAGCTCTACAAATCCTTCCCAAGGCAAAAGCTCTTCTCATTTAAAACTCAGGACTATTTAACAAAAACAGCTATATAATTCCCTAGTACTCTAATCAAACAAGTACCAGGAACAGTCTGTCTGAAAGTTTTTTAAAAAGCAGCAGAGCTCCTTTTTAAAAACATGCCAGTTGAGCACCATGAGGGAAAGACATAGCACAGGAAGAATAATCCAGCCTGCATCAGGCAGCCGCCATGAAATATGAGCAGATGAAGGGTGACTTGCATCCCCTGTGTCACACACAGACAGGCTGAGACCTTGGCTTCAGCCTTCCATAAGGTTTGTCCCTGTCTGAGGCTTTGAAGAAGACGTCAAATGTGACCTGCTCAAAAGAGATTTCTTCAAGGGCTTGCCATGCCAACAGTCACCAAATGAGGGTGTTGCCTGTACACACTGTGGACACATAATTATGTTTGCCTTTTAAATCACTGTCCCCAGTCTCCTTATAAGCTAATGCCTTAGTGTGCCAATATTTTGAAAAAACAGATTTCAAAAAAAATCAACAACCGTGAGCCCACTTCCCGTGAGCCACTTTAGGGCTTAAAGGAGGGAGTGCTAGGATGGATCAAGGATGAGACAGGAAACCAAGGACACTCGTGTCAAATATATAAGAACAAATTTCAATCCCAGATGCACTTTCTCTTGCCACTCAGCATTCTTTTGGATAAGTATTCCCATGGATAATATAAATATATATTAGGTAAATTCATATCCATATTAGTCAAAGCACAAAATTAGAAATGCAAATCTACCACCAAAAATATGTTCATTATATATTCTAGAATCAATCTTTCCCTCTCTTTCTCCTCTTACACACACACACACGCACGCACGCACGCATGCACAACCACAATTCCCCTCCCCCCATTCATATCTGCTGACATCAACTGAAATTTTCCTGCACCTTGAAGAGATAAACCACTTGTCTGTGTTACATTTTTTACAAAGTACTGCCACATAGATGAGCTCACTCAATTCTCACAATGCTACCAATATGAAGATGTCACTTGAATCATCTTATATAAGAGAAATCTAAGGCTCAAAGACATGACATGGGTTCCCTGAAGTTATAATGTCCACCAAACCATAGTTCCCAAACTGGAGAGCCAGTCTCTGGATCCCAGTGAGCTGCCCTGCTACTCAGCTCCTTAATCCCCACCATTTTCCTTCCAGAAGAAAGGGCAGGAGGTGTTTATCTTTCATCCTATTCTTATTTGGCTACAATACAGCCATGACTGCTCTGGAGTCTCCTCTATTTGTCACTTCCAGGTACAAATGACAAGAAGAGACAAAGGAGATGGTGGCATGCCCCAGGAAAGCCTAAGACAGACCAGAAAAAGGTTTGTTTTGGGTGAAAATCCACTTGGCATGGCAATTCCCTGTGTACTATTCTAAGCCTTATATTCCTCCTCCTGGGGAAGCCCTGTCCTCTCCCATTCTCCACCAACAAGTTTTTTTTTTAATTTTTTATTAGGATATAGTCATTATACGAGGGGGGATTCATAGTGATAATTCCAATTAGACTTATATTGTACGTTATTTACATTGCCCTCATCGTCTCTCCCTTAACCCCCTCCTCACCCCACTTAAAGCAATTGCAAGAGGTTTCTTAGTTCTATTTCACATACGTATATGAAGTTCATCTAACATATACTGTCACCTTAATCTCCTTCCTTCACCCTCCTCCCCACTAGTACCCCCCCCACACACACTGTACCTATTTTACAGTCCTGGTTTTCGTTACTAATATTTAAGCTGATGTTCAAAGGGGTGTCTCAATGTAGGCTCACTGTGGGTGTGCTTTACTTTGGTCCATTCAACCCCTTCCATTACTCTCCCTTCCCCTTCACCTCCCACCCCCACTTTTCAGCAGCTTTCAGTACACATCCTTATGTCCTCTACCTTCACATCTTATATTATATGATATTACTGATGCTCTATCATTCTCTTTTCCTTTTCTCTTTCCCCGAGTTCCTTAGAGTAGTTCTACAATTGAGTTTACAAACATGTTCTATAACTGAGTTTGTGTATGATCATGCTTGTTTTTGTGTATATGTTTATCTTTGGATCTATCCTCCACATATGAGAGAAAACATGCAGCTTTTGTCTTTCTGAGCCTGGCTAACTTCATTTAACATGATGTCCTCCAATTGCATCCATTTACCTTCAAACTCCATGTCATTATTCCTTGTGGCTCAGTAATACTCCATTATGTACATATGCCATAATTTCATGATCCATTCTTCAGTTGTAGAGCATCTGGGTTGTTTCTAGAGCTTAGCTATTGTGAATAGTTCTGCGATGAACATCAGTATATAGGTGTCTCTTCTGTATCCTGTCTTATGTTCCTTTGGGTAGATGCCCAGGAGCAGTATCAACTGATCATATGGCAGTTCTATCTCTAGTTTTTTGAGGAATCTCCATACTGCTTTCCATAGTATTGTACTAATTTGCATTCCCACCAGCAGTGTGTAAGGGTTCTTGTTTCACCACATCCTCACCAGCATCTGTTGTTGTTATTACCCTTGATTATGGCCATTCTAACTGGGGTGAGATGAAATCTAAGTGTTGTTTTGATTTGCATCTCTTTTGTAACCAGGGAAGTTGAACACTTCTTCCTGTATTTATTGGTCATTTGTACCTCTTCCTTTGAAAATTCCCTGTTTAATTCATGTGCCCATTTCTTCACTGAGGTGTTCATTCTTTGGGGGCTGAGTTTTTTGAGTTCCCTGTAGACCCTGGATATTAGTCCCTTATCAGATGAGTATCTGGCAAAGATTTTTTCCCATTCTGCCCTACCAACAACTTTAAACATGTGTGTGTGTGTGTGTGTGTGTGTGTGTGTGGTGGGGAAATTCATAAAAAATGTGGGGGAGTCATTATGACATTTTCATAAATGTATATGATGTACTTTGATCATATTCACCCTCATTACCCTATCATTTCCTCTCCCCTCTCCTGCTGGTCCCCTTCCTCTTCCCAAATAGTCCCCACAATGAAGGCTTCTATAGATTTTTCTCCCTGCCAATGCCCCATAAGCAAACCAGGAGTGGTGGCACAAAATCAAAGCTAATTCCAATGGTAATTTTTCCAAGTTAGAAAAACAGAGATGCCTGCATGAGGACTATATGTACATAGGTCAAATGGTCTGAATGTATGTGCTTATATATCATCAATTAAATGGTGAAATATTTAACACATATTTAATTAACAATAGGTTTAATCAGAGATGGCATGATTTATACCCATAATAGCCATTTCCTATCTACTACATGTCAATAAACAACACAAAGAGTCAGATGATTTTGGTGTGTTTTTGTGCAGGAAATCAAAACCCAGAGGCAATGCAGCACGAAGGAACCATGGACCCTGCAGTGACACGGCAAAGGCATAACTCTGACTCAGTCTCCACCATCTATATAACCTTGCCCACATTATTAATCATTCCAAGTTCGCTGTCATCATCCATGAAATGCAGCACACTCTCCACAGTCAAGTGTGCAAATGTTGGGCTGGAATGCAGAAACACACAGCCTCCTGTTCCTCAAGGATTCATCGTGGAGAGAGGATTTATGTTCCACTCCTCTCCTTGCTCCTCCTGCTCTGAAGGTGATGCAGGAAGGAGGTGTCACTTGATCTATAAAAGGGGAAACCGGCTTGACCCTGACTTATAATCTTGACTCTCTTGTACACAGTGGGGGACCATTCTTGTTCCTCTAGCCTCCATGCTGTTAGCAAAAACGGTAGCATTTGGCAGCCCAGCAATTTCTAGGATCTCTGCGTTTCAGCCTTCCTAGCCCAGCTGGTGGCTAAAGGGCACCTGTGTTCAATTTATGAAGTAGGCTGTAAGGAGCCCCATCACTAAGGGTAAGTCACAAAACTCCAACAGGTTTGCAAGAACCTTTGGGTCATAAAGTGATCATTTAATCATGAGTTAACCCCAATTTCTGTTTTCAATGCTTTGGAAACGTGGGAGGGAGACATGCTATGAGTTGATATCAAACCACCATCATTTTCTTATGGTTTCTGTGAGGATTAGAAAGAATGTATGCATAAAACAGAAATAAATATATGCAAAGTTCCTGTACCTAGAAGGTGCTCCATAAACTGAAACTATATTTATGTTGATTGGAAATAGTCAAAAAGAAAGTTCTGAAAACTTCAGGGTGGCTTGACGAGCAACCAGTCTAATAGGCAAGCATCCTCCCAAGATGAGTTGAGGCTGGGCGCTGGTGGCTCATGCCTGTAATCCTAGCTACTCTGGAGCCTGAGATCAGGAGGATTGAGGTTCAAGGCCATGCAAATACTTCGAAAGACCTCATCTCCAAAATAACTAGAGCAAAATGGACCAGGTGTGGCTCAAGTAGAAGAGTGTCGGCTTTGCAAGTGTGAAGCCCTGAGTTCAAACCTCAGACCCATTCCATCCCCAAAAAAGATGAGTTGAGAAGTATTCCTTCCTCTATTTTCTGAAAGTTTTCTTCCTTACATGCTTGATATAAGTCATTAATGAAGGCATTTAGGCTGTGGAAAGGTTTTTAATTATGCACTCAATTTCTTTAATTAATACAGAGTACAGGGCTGTTTAAGCTTTTGGTCTCTTTTCAGGTCAGTTTTAGTAATTTGTGTCATCTCAGGAATTTGTCCATTTCACCTGGTCTGTCAAATTTACTGGTGCAAAACTGTTCAGAGTATTCCTTTGTTATCCTCTTTCATTCCTGATACAGGTAACATTTCTTTCTTCTTTTCTCCCCATTTGATCTAGCTAGAGTATCAATTTAGGAATTCTCTAATTCCTAAAGATGTTGCATTTTATTGACAGTCAAGATATCTCTTCTCTAGACTCACTTTAAAGGTGAGTCCAGCACAATCAAGATACAGAACTGGGCTGCAGGTATTCCTCAATGGCAGAGCACTTACCTAGCATGTGCAAGGCCCTGGGTTCGATTCCCATGATCACAAAAAATGTTTAAGATACAGAAGTATTCCCTCACTATGATGATGTCTCTGTGGTATTGAGTTATAGTCACCTCCATGTCTACCCTCCCACCATCCCTAATCCCCGGCAGCCACTAATTTGTTCTCCATCCTTACACTTTTTTCACTTCTAGAATGCTACATAAATGAAGTAAATTATATAGAATATAACCTTTTGAGGCTGGATATTTTTACTTATCACAATGCCTTTTAGATATATCTAGACTGCATAGCAACAGTTTGTTCCCTTGGACTGTTGAATACTATTCTATGGTATAGCTTTGGTTGCTTCCAATTTTTGTTTATTATAAACTAAGCAGTATGAACAATTACTTGGGTATAGGTTTTTTTTTGTGTGAACATAAATTTTCATTTCTCTGAGATAAACCCTCAGCTGTGAAGTTGTTGGGTCTTGTGGCAATTTCAACCTCAGTTTTACATAAAACAGCCACTTTGTGTTCCAGAGTGGCTGAACAATGCTACAATTCCACTGGTGGTGTACAAGCGCTCTAGACTTTGAAACAGAAGTGGATCACTGATGATGAATCACCTATAGTCTCTGAGTAGGTGCAGAATGCAGTAACAAGCAATCTGGGAGAAGGAAAAAAAACTAGAGAACTATGCAGGTAATAATTATGCAGGTAATGAACCACATAGCTTCTTATGTTTTAAAAAATTACTAGCAAAACCTTCATACCTTCTTTAAACTGTATCCAGCATGGAAAATAATTGGAGGCAGCAGAATGTTGAAAAATACCTCTGGATCAAATGTTACCTAAAGGTTTAAAAAGAAAAAGCCAAATTTTAGTTTAATGCCAACTGGTGCTATAGAATTTGTTGAGTAACTACATCAGTGTGACATCTCACAGCCTCATCCCAGAGGAGAAGCTATGACTTCCCGTGGACCAGCACCTTCTCCCCACAGTGGCAAAAAAGAAAAAAGAAAGAGAAAAATAAAAGATAAAAAAAGTAGTCTCCCAAGTATGGACTGCCAGAATGAGAAGGAGCCTTGGGCAATACCTACCTAATACAGGAACTGGGCCCAATGATAGTAAGACTTACTAGAAGTCACCAATCTGGCACAAGGGGTTTCTGACACCCAATCTAATGTTATTCTCAACAATGAAGCTGCCTCAACACACCTCTTCTCCTCTCAAGTAGCAACAATCATCTCCACCTTCTTTGTTCACCCACATTTACTTTGTATGGCAATTTTTTTTTAAACAATAAACTTTTAAATGTGAATAAACATTTTTCTTTTCTTTATTTTTTTTGGTGGTACTGGGGTTTGAACTCAGGGCCTTGAGCTTTCTAAGCAGGTGCTCTACCACGTGGGCCACATCTCTAGTCCTTTTTCGCTTTAGTTATTTTGAAGATAGGATCTCACATATGGGCAGCCTAGACCTTGATCCTCCTATTTCCACCTCCCACACAGCTGAGATGACAGGGATGTGCCACCACACCCTGCTTTTATTGATTGAGATGAAGTTGTAGTAACTTCTTGCCTGGCCTCAAACAGCAATCCCCCCCAATCTCCACCTCTCGAGTAGCTGGGATTACAGGCATAAGACACTGTACCCAGCTTGAATAAACATTTTTCTAAAGATAAAAACAGTAAAAGTTACCTTCATCTTCTGCTATGATCTACAAGATGGAAATGGATTGGTATTGTTTCTTTTTTCCCCTTATCCTATGCAAGCCTATGTGAAGGACACAAGCTACCATTTCAAAACAGCCATTAGTGTGATATTTACACTGGGAAGTCTCTCTCAGTTTGCATTTAATTTTACAATGTTTGTGGAAATGCCATGCTTTCTTAGTAAGTGTTGAGAGCCAAGGACATATTAGTACTGCTATTAGGGATGCAGAGAAGATGGTAATGCTTGACAGTTCAGGTCAGAATAATTTTCCTTAATGATTAGTATATTCCAAGAACAGTAATTTAAATTTTGGAGCACACCTCCACTTTTGCAGTCTTTGACTGCAAGTCTTTGCACGCATTAGCCTTGTTCCATATTGGAAGGGGCTTCCCACAACCTGGGTCTCCCAGACTGTTATACAGAAGTCTTCTTGCTGACAAGCCTTGATCTATAAGGTAATGGAATAAATATGTCAATTACTATAGATCTCTTACTTATCCTTAAAATCACTCACAAAAGGAGATGCAAAATCACTTTTTGTAGAGTATTTTTGCTACCCCAACATCAAATGAAAGACAATGCTTGAGCCAGGTGTGGTGCTTCTCACCTGCAATCCCAGCACTCAGGAGGCTGAGGCAGGAGGATCATGAGTTCAAGGCCAGCCTGGACTACACAGAGAGACCCTGTCTCAAAATTAAATTTAAATTTATTGTTTTTACAAAAAACAAAACAATACTTGGACTCAAATTCTAAGACAAGCTGCTCTTTAGCCCTTGGAAGATGTGTTAGGCCTTTGGCATCGATTACTGACAAGAATAAGCACTCAAATCTTGGTAGAATATGACAAAAGAGCCACCAAGAACTAAGAAATAGGCTGGAGGTATGGCTCAAGTGATAAAGTGCCTGCCTAGCAAGTGTGAAGCCCTGAGTTCAAACCCTAGAAACTGCCCCCAAAAAAGAGGTAAGAAATACCTTTCTGAATACTGAGTAAGTAAGCTAAAAATGAAATCAATGTTATTTTAAGAAAAAAAAATCAACCACATCTCTAAACCACAGCAAGGATAAGAAAAACAGTGAAGAAGAGATGGTGACTGGAGAACGGATGACAGCCCCCATGAGCCACAGAGCCTAAAAACTGAGATGGTCAGAAAACCGAAATGCTCTCGCCAAAATCTGGTTCCTTTCCTTATCATGGCCCAAAAGCTTCCTAGCAAAACTGTGGACCAGAAATGTTTCTGATACTCCAGGAATCTGGAAGGATTTCTCTCCACAAGGTCAAGGTGAAGCCAGGGAAGTCAATAACCATGTTGCAGCTCACCTTGCGCAGCATGTCATTCTGCTCTACGCTGTTGATCTTGCCAGGGCTGATTTCTCCCTTCAGAGTGTATTCGAAGAACTTCCCACTGACATTCACTAATAGGGTGCTGAAGGCCCTGTCTTCCTGAGTACAGCTGAGTGACTTGTCACGGCCACTAGTGGCAGGGGTGCCATATCTCAGGATCACCCCGACGATGAGCCCTGAAATAGAGTGAAAAAAGAAAAAAGACATCAGGCCTGAGGAAGGATCAAAAGTGTGGAAATAATAGTACTGCTGATTTTCAACAACTAGGAAATACAGAGGAAGTCTTAGAAACCAAGCCTGGTGGGGGTGTATTTTAGGTGCAATTGCATAGTCCTTCTGAAAGGGTTAGGCGTCTATTCTGGTCAGATTGGAGTCCCTTAGCCACTGGAAGGACAAGGTGGAATGGGACCTTCTGTAGTTATTGTGGTACTCTTAACAGTTTGAACACCCACTCATGTCTCATTTTTGAGGCTTTTAGTGGAGAAGATGGGACGATAAGCTGCAAGCAAAGGGTTTTTTGTTGTTTTTTCCCTGCTGAAGACAGCACGAGGCAGGACTGGTGCGCCCTTGATTTTCCCCAGAAGCGTCCCTCTGCCATCTGCAGCAAGGACCAAGCTAGTGGAATTTTTAGTTGCTATAAATGCAACTTGCTTTGTCACACACCAGAAGACAGAGGAAAAAAAATCAACACTTTTGCTTAGGTCATTTCAAGCACTGGGTATCATGGAAAGTAATTACTCCCTTGAGAAGCTGATTGCTATGGTGTAAATTGGAGCAGCCACAATTCAGGGGCTGGAGAGCTGGCTTCTTGGGGCTGTAGCTGCAATCCCTTAAGCCTCATTCCTTTCTTAGCAGGGCTTTTTCAATAGGGAAAAATAAAAACAACAAAATCATGTCTACATGTCCAATTCCATAAATAAGGAAGCAGTGTGGCTCCCCTGTGTCCTGGACATAAGTCAGATGCACCCAAGCAAATGTGAGAAAAGAAAACCCCTAAACCATAAATGACTGCCAGACACTTCCTATAACTCCCTCTCAGGATAAGAATTTCACACTGCTCTCTAAATTCAGTTCCTTTGCTAATAATATTCAGAGACAGAAGGGGTAAAAATGTCACCCCCTCATCTCACTTGTCATTAATGAGGAAAGACACACCAGAATAAGAAAGAATGTTTATTCTGTTCTATGTGCTACAGTTTGGATGTTGAATGTCCCCTAAAGACCCAGGTGTTAAAGGCTTAGTCCCCAGCCTGGCACAATTGGATGGTTATGAAAACCTGTAAGAGGTTGGAGACCTAGTGGGACATCTTAGGTCATTGGAGGTATACCCTCAAAGGGAATAATGGAACCCCAGCCTCTTCCTCTTCCTTTTTTTATATTCTCAGTCATGAGGTGAACATGTTACTTCACTAGACACTCCAGCCATGATGTGCTGCTGTCACAGGCCCAAGCAACAAATTCAATTAGTCCTGTACTGAAACCTGTACTGAAATAGTCAGCCAAAATATACCTTTCCTCTTTTAAAGATAATTAACTCAGGTATTTTGTTACAGTAATAGAAAGTTGAATAACACACTGTATAATGTTCTATAATATCTCTTACCACCAAGACAATGAGAACTCATGAGAGAGACATTGTTGAATAGCAAAATCATAAATAAAATTTAGAAAAATACAGCTCATTCAGCCAACATGTGTCTGTATTGTGTTATCATCATCATCACCATAGACTGGTATTAACAGACAGATACTTGTAGTTGGTTGACTTTTGTGGGGAAAAAATCTTAATACTTTTATTACAAATTTAAAATGAGGTCCTAAATAATCTGAACCTGACCAGATATAAAACAATTTGAAAACCTTTAAAATTGTGTGAGAAAAAAAACCAGACTTTTATTTTTTCCCTCTTTTATTTAGCACATGAAAAATCAGACTTAAAAAAACATGCTCGTCATTATCAAAAAGAGATATTTGGGGAAAAATAGTTAAAAATCCCATAATGTAGAGGTTCGAGTACATGTGCAAAACTGGATGATGGCAAAGATGGCCAGCCACCATTTACTCAGCCGTGCCTTTCTCAGCTTCAGGAGTGTACTTCTCAGCTGAAGTACTCTTGGCCATCTTGCGGAGTTTAGGGCTTTCTTAATGTCTGTTCTGGTAACTGAACTTATGGGGTATCTACCCAGAGGTAGCTTGCTAGTCTTCGGTCCCATTTCCTTGATTGTCCTGCTCTTCTCACTGCTTCCCTGCAGACTCGTGACCTATAAACCCAAGAAATCACTGGTCTCATGGGTCCACCTGTGCTCCATCAGCTCTCCCTGTGCAGGAGAGTGGCAATCCCCTGGTCAACACCCATACAGTCTCTGAATGGAGATACGCCACCTGTGCTGTGTTCAGGAAAACTCTACAATCCCTCCTTTTCACCATTTTCACTTTCTGCTCATTCTTCTGGTGACCAAGCAGATGCCTCCATGATGCAGATAACAGTCAGAATGGTTATAGTATGCCACTTATTTACAGCTGGCACTGGAACTCCACCAGGTTCTGTATACTTTTGCTACCTGTGCACCCTTTTGTCTTTCCACAACATGGAACGCCATAGATTCTCTATCCCCACAACTGCAAAGGTGCCTCCTAGAGGTTTTGCTTCTTTATGGAAATCTGGCATACAAATACACTTAGCTTGGTGTCATTCCTGTGGATGAAACCATATCTGTTTCTTATACTGAACCACTTTACTGATCCCAAACTTTCATTGCAAGGAAGTTCTTGTTCCCTTCTGTGGGCTGCCACTTCCTTGCCTCTGCTCATGGTGCCATGCTGGGTGTCAGTCTTACTGCTCATGGCTGAGGTCACGGTAATGATGACTGGGGCCAGCTGTGGCAATAGCACCTTTTCCCAAGGCTGCCGGTGGCACTGCGGCTGCTCAGGACTCTCTGGGCTTTGCTCTCCACTCCAGATGGAATCCTGTAATGCTTTTCATTCTTTCACTCCTGGTGCTGGAGGAGTGGCTCACGTGGTAGAACACCTGCCTAGCAAGTGTGAGACCCTGAGTTCAAACCCCAGTACTGCCAAGAAAAAAAATGTCATCACTCCTGGTTAGGCAGTTAGATTCAGATGAAGTTTTATATGACAAAAGTGATTTCACAGTCTTTCAATACTCATAATACAGGATGATCTGTAAAGCCTGGAGAAGGCACCTGTCACATGAGTTAAGTCAAATGTCTTCATGAGGAAACCAAAACAAACCATTTACAGCAACTGTCTTTCTCCTAAATCAAAACCTGCTTCACGTAACTCACCGTTTCTTGACTTTACCAACATTACTATTAGCAGAGCTAACAGAAAGACTAAGTTATACTAGTGTAGGCTCCTCACAACAACTATCACTCTAACAAAGGTAGAGATTTATATTTGCAGACAGATTCCTCAATTACAGGAAATGCTCTTGAAATCTCTCCCAGTAGCCATCACTCTCACATCAGAATCATTATCAGATGATGAATATTATTTTTTAAAGTTATAAAACCTTTCTCTCTTCACCCTGGGCCCAATGTGCCCACATTAAAGATGGGAGAAAGGTCACGATGCTGCCCCTTTGTGGTTGAAACATGGTAACACAAAACACCACAGCAAAGACACAAGGTTAATGCCATCCTGATAGTTTTGACCAAAGATATACCAAGCCACAGGGTACATACACCACTAGCTCAAAGCATAGTTTGAGTAACTCCTCAAACATTTTCAATTCATATTTATTATCACTGTATTCCATGACATGATATTAAGTTTACATTCAGTATTTTCCACTTGAAGAAAGAATAGGATATCAGGACTGCAGAGGGGTATTCTGGTGAGAAAATGATGAAGACCTGATGAAACATTAATAGTATATTTCACCTGCTGGATCTGAAGACATCCTCTGACAGGGAACTGGAAATAGGTCATAACTACAAGGGATTAAAACATGCTGAAGATTTTTTTTTAAGGTCAGAAAGTTCAGTATTCACACAAAAAATAATGCAGAACCACAAAGGCACTGATTTGAAAGGGTCAATAGCACAGTGTTCAAGATTACAAACAGAAATAACTTACTATGTCTGTGGACCAGAAATAATAGCAAAAGATGTTAGGTGATGAAGAGAGGGTTGCTGATTTCACATTCCCCGATGACACAGGGAATAACCTTTATAGAAAGCAAATATGGATGAAATTCCTTTGACATTTGATGTGGCTAAAAACGAAATGGTGAACTCAAAGGTGCAAAAATTCAAGATTCTTTCAACTTCTGGGTATGGAAAAAAACTTTCTTCACAACTGTGCTAGCATACCGTGTTGATGGTACACAACTGCCAGCTTTTCTACTTTTTAAAAGACATAACCTCAAGGAAGGGAAAAACCTTTATATAGTTTCTCTATGTGCCCATCCAAAAATTAGTAGTATGAGGAAGAAATATAATCATGAGCCAAGTGTGGCTTACAAATCCCAGAGGGTCATTAAAGAAACCAGTCCCCATTAGTCTGGTGCCAGATTCCCTTTTGAGACTGAGGTTGTTGGGAGGACAGTTGAACAAATGGACACAGGGTAAGATGTAATTTTAGACAGCCTTCCACCAGCTGCAATGTGTAAATGTCAATATTAATAAGCCTTTGTTAAGCAGGAGGGAACAGGTGCATGGATGTACTGTTTTCCTCTAGTGAGACCTCGCCTTCTCTCTCTCTCTCTCTCTCTCACTCTCCCTCAATAATTCCCTCCCACTGGGGTTTTGACTCAGGCCCTAAGCTACTGAAAGTAAGGATCAGTTTAGCCACCACTGTGCAGTTGTTTAGAGTACTATAAGGGTCTAAAGCTTCATTTGAAATAATGAGAAAAGAAAACATCATTTCCTATTCAATTATAATATATTTATAGATAGTGATAACTATAGGTTGAGTATTCCTTAACCAAAATGCTTGGGACCAGAAGTGTTTCAGATTTCAGAGGTTTTTGGATTTGGAGATATTTGCATAGACTTTAAAGCTGAGCATCCCTAATCTGGAAATCAGAAGTCTGATATGCTCCCCAAACCCGAAACTTTTTGCATGTCATGCTGGCACTCAAAGAGCCTCAGATTTTGGAGCATTTCGGATTTCAGGTGTTCAGATTACGGGTGCCCAACCTGTATTTTTTTTTAATGGTAGGAATGGGGTTCGAACTTAGGGCTTTGTACTTGCAAAACAGGTTTACTGCTTGAACCACACCTCCAGTTCATTTTGCTCTGATTATTTTGGAGATGGGGGTCTCACGAACTATTTGCCCTGGCTGGCCTCAAACCATAACCTTCCTCATCTCAGCCTCCCAAGTACCTAGGATTACAAGCATGAACCACCGGTGCCTGGCTCCCAACTTATACTTCTAAGTCAATGAATAAATAGATTCTAGCAAGACAATTACTTTTCATGTTTGGGGGTCATTTACATGACTTTGGTTTTAAGAATGAATGTTACAGACCTTCTTCTAGTTGTTCTGTTACATGGGCTACAGCTGTGCTACTCGTTGATATATTAAAAGTCATTCAAGGAGAATTCATTCAAAAATATTTTTGTTGCTTATTGACCATCTTTAAGTCCTCTTTGGAGATTTATTTCTTCAAGTCCTTGCCTGTTTGTAAAATTGGGCTGTCTTCTCATGCTTGTGTTCCTTATATATACTAGATACAAATCCATGGTCAGATATACAGTTTACAGATTTTTTTCCTAGTTTATGGCTTATCCTTTTAGTCTCTTGGCAGATTCTTTGGCAGAGAAATAATTTAATGTAATTCTGATGAAGTCTAAGTTAACAATGTTGTTTGTCACTTATGGTTTTGGTGTCCTATCTAAGAAATACTTTCCTAACCGAAGGTCATAAATATTTCTTCTTATATTTTCACTTAGATCTCTGACACAAATTCAGTTAATTCTTTGAGCATGGTTTCAGATTAGGGTTCACAATCACCCTTTTGCATTTAAATGTCCAATTGTCCCAGCACTATTTGTTGGGGGGAAAAAAACTATCCCTTCTCCAGTGAATTCACTTAGCACTTTTGTCAAAAATCAACTGACTATAAACACAAAAGTTTATGTCTAGGGCTGACAGGAGAAATGGGCTACTCCACCTGCCCAGAATAAATGTGCAACATGGGTCTAGAGGGGATGGGTATAGTCCATAGCCTAAAAGGCACTCATACCCACTGTTCCTCCCAGACTGTTATTTGACTTTAGTTGTTATTTTTGACAGCTTGGTCCTGTATTATTGCAGTGTTATGGGCAAAGGGTCTATTGAGCTCTCATATGGCCAGTGTAGACATCTGCCATGAATCATTCTCCCTTACTCCATCATGAGCATGAACAACAGAACCCCTCCATGCTTACTATTTTGCTATGTTGTATACCAATTTTTTTTACTGAAAATGATGGGTTTTTATATTGTACCAAATTAATTCTGATGCGCTATTATATTAGACCATTTTTTCTGATATATTTATTTTGCCTGGTAGTAGCTAGGCAGAATGAAGGAGAAGAATTGGTGGATTCAGTGACAGAATACCTGGGTATGTAACTTCACTTTCTCCTTAGCTGCAATCCAGAGCAAGATAGCTCTCTGCTGCTCATTTCTACAAGTGGGCTGTTGTAAGAATGAACATGATGTGTCAAAGACCTTTACAAAGTGTCAAATGCTGCACAAATGATGCTTTTTATGAACCCTTCAGAAGAGTTATTTTTCCTTGCGTTATTGCATTTCTATAAAAATAGCACATATTAGGGTATCAGGGCTTAGGATGAGAAGTGATGTGTAGGCTGGAGCAAAGTAGGAAAAATACCCCAGAAAAGTAGCTACAGAATGCTCTTATTGAAGTTATCCTGTCTGGTGTCTAGTGGAGGGATAGGATGCCATAATTTCCTTATTTGCCCCTCTAAGTAACTTCCTGGGTACCAGTAAAATGAGCATTTATGCAATGATACACAGATATAAAGGGTTTTGATGAAAGAAAAATTTTGAAGATAGGCATAATTCTCTATCTATAAATGCTAATTTTTATTTTAGAAGATTCTCCCAGAGGTTTACAAAAACACTTAATAGTCACTACTAAAACAATATA